CTTTGAGGGACGAAGTGAGAATTGATATTGGATTGAACGTGACTCTGACCGATGTAAGTTTCCCCGTTACGGAACAACGGGGGATCTGGCGTGACGTAGCTCAACGAACTACCAGTCTGCTGATTCCTGGCGAAGTTGACCTGGCTGGGAGTCACGTATCGCGCTGTGCCCGCGATTGGTGATTGGGTCGTGGTGATCGCCGCTCCATCGTCCCTCGTGTACCCCGAATTTTGAATTTCCAACGAGCTCAGAACACCCGGTTTCGCAGTTGTGAAGAAGCTTCGGTAGTTCTCGTTGGTGGCGGTGTTTTGAGGCTTCGTGCGTAATCCGAACATCAAGGGTTGGGGTTTGGTCGATCGATGAAGATTCAAGTAGTGTTGGCTCCTTTCATTTTGAGAGTTTATCTCGGAGAAAGAGGTGGACATGGCGAAAGAGTTGTGGTGGACCACACTCTTGATGGACGTTTTCTGCGGACTGTGATTGTCGGGCACCCTCTCGATTATGGTTTTCGGGAGGAAAGGGCTGATCGATTCCTCGATGCTCACCGTGGTTCCACTCTTCCCTGCTGGGAAATAATAATTGTATCTTCTGGTCTGGATGTTGTTGAGGCCGTAACCGAGACCATTGTCCACGGTCCGTTTCGATTTTTCCTCGTGGGTGATGTTCTCGTTCTCGGTGTCGTTGGCGAAGTCGAGCAGAATTATCGGCGGCAAAATCGGCATTTTGTCTTCCTTCAGAACGGCGTCCTCCAATTTCGCGGTGTCGTCCAATTGGATGGTGGTGGTGGTGGCGGCCGACTCGTATTCGTGCGCATCCTCGTCCTCGTCGTCGTCGACGGTCAAAGGCTTCCCGGAGACGTTGGGCAGAGAACAGCAGAGAGCAATTACGAGAGGAATCTGAAAGTGACGGAGCACGTGTGAGAGAACTCGTTTAACGCGTTATAATAACGAGACGAAGTTGATTCGATCGATCTTACTGGTTCGATGCTCCACTAATGTTAATGTCTCGCTTTCACTTCCCTTCCTTTGCCTTCTCTCGCTCGTTTCACGCTACCCTTCTTTATTTTGATTATTAAGGAACGTTTAACGTTGCAATTATCGAGGGGAAGGAGGGGAGGGAATCATGCTTTCTTTCGCGAGAGTTGTATCATTATTATTATATTATCGACCTTGGCGGGAAAGAGTGATGAATTTCTACAAGGTCACAGTTGAAGCCAAACACCCGTTCGACGAGTCAGGGGAATAACGAGTTTCTTGCCGGTGCTCTCTTTTGATTTTCACCGAACTTTCTTCGACAAATATACTCGCCTCGGGATACGCGTTTCGCATTAAAATTTATTTCCACGAGGAAACAATATATTTATTACGAATTTTCGTAACATCTCTCTAAAACTCTCTCTTCTCCTTTCGCTTCCCTTTTAATTCTTTTCCAGTTAATAATTTTTAAAGAGGATCATTTTACGAATACGTGAAAGTAGCTTCGAGGCGAACATTCTGCCATTCTTCTTTCGAACGGATTATCATAGAAATTGATTTTGGAAATCGTTCGACGTATACCTCATAGAATGCGTGATTAATGTCGAATGAAGGAATGCCAGTTTCGCGCCATTTTCACTTTACTCTTTCGATAGAGACGCGAACGGTTACCTAATAATAAATCGTAAACCGAACGGATTTTACGAGCGGCTCGAGAGCCGCTGTTCCTCGAATACCTTCAAGGACTTTCACTGACTCGCCCAAGAGCATCTGCCGTGTTGTTACTCTCCGCCGGGCTCGCGTGGACGAAAGAAAATAAGAAACACTTTCTCCGTAATGACCGGAGCCAGAGGTGTCTGGTTTATCTCGTCTTTGAAAAGAATTCAGTTCTACCGGTGAAAATAACGAATCGTACATTTATTGCATCGAGCCAAGAAGAGAATGAAGGAGATTATAAATAATTATTAATCTAATTTAATTTTGTTATAATTTTATTTTAAGTGGTTAATATTATTAATATAACTGCGAAGATAACACTGTGCTGTGCTGATCGCAGCGTTAGAGTTATAGCAGGTGTATCTCTCTCGTGAGATCTCCGCGCGAAATGGGGCGAGATAAGTTGAAGAACGTACACGAAGAACGCATACAAATAACGGTACTATTATCGTGAACATTTGGAGGAACTAATAGGGATGATCCTTCATAAACGAGATAAGGGAAAACCCATAGTTTCCCGCGCACGTGAAACCATTATTCCTTTCTGTTCGACGATTCGCGTTTTCTGAAAAGTGAATCTACGTGAAGATTTTTGATCTATCGACGAGATAAAAAAAGAAAAAATAATAAATAAATGCACGCTATGTTTCAAATCTATATAAAATTGTCAAATATCGTCTTATCGATCAGATGACAAGTACGACACGTTCAATTTTGCAAACTATAAATGCACGAATGAATTTACATAAATTTACATTTATCGCATAAATGAGGCCGCTGGTTTATTACGAAATCTGTATAGAAATATCGAGTTGATCATCATCAACAGCCACGTGTGACACGTTATATTTCCATAAATGCAAAAAAAAAAAAAAAAAAAAAAAGAGAAAGAAAGAAATGTTAGAAGAATATTTGTTTTAAAATAAAAATTAATTAGATATTACAAATTGTCAACCGTCGCGTTTAAATTTTCATAGATTTAAAAAAATAAATAACGAACGTTGGATGAATATTTGTTTAGGATAGAAAATTGATTGTCAAAACGCGACAAAGTTGAACTTTCATTTCGGAAAAGTTTAAAAGCAAATATTTGTTTCGATGTTTCAAAGATCAAAAAAAAAAAAAAAAAAAAAAAAAAAA